TTCATCACTAAAATTTAAACTTCAAGAAGACAGTGGTCATGTCCCTTATTCATTGTGTATCGAACCCTCAGAGCCTATTGCAACACCTAGAAGAGTAGTTATTTACCTTAAAAAAAGTTTACAAACTGTACAAGGCAACAATTAACACAACATGCTCACACAATCACAGTGCCTACATGATCTAAATCATCCTTCACTCCCAGAAACCAACTTTTGACTTTTTTTAGAAGTGCCCTGGGGTGAAGAGATCTCACTTACTGAGAAAAACTTTTGTTTTCCTCAGTTCCAGGGTCTGATAATATTCAAAACACGTATTTTAAGGTAAGAATTTCATACAAATTTGGACGTCAAGATGATTCCACACATGACCGTCCTCCACTACTTGGTAGAAGTGACGTTGGCCATTGTCTCGTTTTTATTTGTCAGTGCTACAAGATGCCTTAGACTAGGTGATTTATAAACAATGGAAAAGTATTTATCTTTATTTATTTATTTTTGTGTAGCGCTAGGGAATCAAACAACAGAAAGTTATTACTCCCAGCTGTGAAGGCTGAGAAGTGCTCAGTGCTCCAAATGAGCTTCTCTCTCTGATCCATAGATGGCTCCTCCCACGTGTGTCCTTATGTAAAAGAAGGGACAGACAAGCTCCCCCGGGCCTCTCCCACAAGGGCACTTAACCCCTTTCCAGATGTCTCGGCTCTTCAGATCATGACATCTGCTCACCTTCCAGATGCCCCGCCTCTTCATACCACCACAATGGAGCTTAGATTTCACCATATGCATTTTGGATGAACACAAATACTTAGACCTTAGCGATCCCATAAGCAAGACAATGGAGAATTGCAGAGCTTGCTGTTGCCATGCCAGCAGTGCAGCAACAAAATGGATGTTTTCAGTTGCTTTCAGGCCTGTCCCATCGTTCTCCCAGAAGCATTTTAAAAATAGCTGTGATTTTTTGCCCCCAGCTTCTGCCAGCCAGTGTCAAAGGCAATCTTTCCCGGCTCCCTTCTCCCCTCTCTTTCTTCCTGGTAGACATCAAGTCCTAATGCATTTGTGCTTTGCACAAATAAAAGGCATCCTTTTCAGTGGCTGATGGAAATAAACAGCTGGACCCTTTCAGAGGACGCATTAGGAAGGGATGGAACACACTGAAACACAGCTGCTGCAAGGACAGAAAGTGGCTGCTCAGCACAAAGGGCCACAACTTCGGGCACAAAGAGCCAGACTTTCCCCCAGCTCAAAAAACCTGCCTCTCAGGGTTCGCATTGGCTCAGTAGGAAAGAAGCGTTATGCGCTGCCGCCTTCCCGGAGTTACCGCACCAGGCAGGAGCAGGAAGCGGCCGGAGCAGGAGCTTATAGGTTGCTCTTGCTGCCAAAGGCTATTGGATTCGCGTTCGTTCCTGTGGTGAGGCCCAGAACGTCCCCCGACCCTACCCCACTCACCCACTCAACATCCCCAGCCGTTCCCCTACCCCGACACCCTCAGTTACTCTCCTACCTCAGCACCCCCAGCTTCACCCCTTTCCCGTCATCCCCAGCTGCAGCTATGGCTGCCTGGCTCTGTAGACACAGAAAAGACAAAGGATTTGAAATCCTGAACTACCCCTGACTCCAGGCTCCTGGAGAAAGCAAGGAACAGACCTTCTCACCTTCAGCTGCTCTGTCTGCCACAGGACTCCCTGAGGTCGGTGGTTCCCTGCCTCCCTTTGGAATGATCTAGAGCCATGTTCATTAAAAACCAGAGCCTGGAAATCACCTGACTTCTCTAACTGGATTAGGCACGAGTCCATTTAAAAGAGTCCTAGTGACTCCTCTGTGCGCCCTTGATCCTCCCCCAGGCGTGTAAGGGTGAAGCCAAAACCTCCAGCAATGTCTGCTCTCCCTGCAGACGCCGCGTTTCTCAACCTCAGCATACTCCGGAGCACTCGTGGTCCTCTCTGAAATCCCTGTGTGGGGCTGCTCCCCAGATGAATCACCTCAGAATCTCTAGAACAGGCCTCAGGATCTGTACATATTTTTAAAACTCCTCAGATGTTAGGTGATTGAGTGTGAGCTAGCATGTTTCCACAGTGTCTCCCCAGGACATGCCTCCCAAACTCCCTGTATCGAAGGACTGGCTTTAGGGCTTGCTTTCTTTCTGCTTGCTGTTGTTGTTATTGTTGTTGTCATTGTCTTTTTGAGACAGGGTTTCACTATGCAGTTCAAGGCTGGCCTTGAACTCATTTGTAACCCAGGCTGGCTTTGAACTAGCAACAATCCTCCTGCCTCAGCCTCCTGAGTACTGGGATTACAGGCATGCACCACCGCGTCTGGTTCTTCCTTTTTAACTATGAATCTTTTGCTAAGCAACATCTTTGTAAAATACAATAAAATTAAATCACTAGAAAAATGAGATTAAAAAATAGATATACAAAACACAAACCCAAGTGTTTTGTTCTCTGAGACAGGGTCTCACTTTGTAGCCCAGGGTGGCCTCAAACTCATGGTGATCCTCATGCCTCAGCTTCCCAAGTGTTGGGATCACAGGTGTACGCTACCATGCCTGGCCCAACTATTTTCATTATTAGATTCAAAAATACAAAATTATTAGTACATTTTCTAAACAATTTCTGTACTTATTTCATCATGGATTGTTAATTTGTGGACGAGTGTTAGTGTATGAGTCATGCTTCGAGTAAGACCATTTTAAGACACATTTTTACAGGAAATATAAGTAGAGGAGTGTGGTAGTGCTACAGGTGAGGGTCAAGCAGATTTGATAAATACTGCAGAATATCTACCCACTTAGCATAAAGGACTCTCGGCTCTTAAGAGCTCTGAGTGGTTCTGAAGTAACAAAAACCATTTAGCTTCATTTAATTCAGTGTTTTCCAATCTCATAACACCAGAATGCCCCCTCCATCCAAACCCTGTAGGCACTTACATAAAGTGTAATCTGTTTAACAATTTATTACAGTTTCATGACTCATGCTCACTCGACAAAAAGAGAGAGGAATCTTTGCAGAATCATTTCCTGCATTATCCTATGCCCAGCTGTGCCTCTTCTGTCTGTGGCTTGAATCTCAGTGACTGGCGTCAGCAGCCACAGAAGGACCAAACTAGAGTACCGCATTCGTCTCCCTCGGTATCCTGACAGCCATCCAGCCCTGCCCGCTCTCCCGACTGTGCTCAGGACGGCCAGCTCAGGCCCACTTGCACAACCTGGCTCAGGTCTCCCCGAGCACCATTATTTCTCAGATAGCGGAAACGCCCTTATTTTGGTTCCTTGCCCCTTGGTGGGCCCAGCTTCTCCTAATACGCTCTTCACAACAAAGCCAGAATGATCTCTCTAAAATTCAGATCTGATCTTGTCACTCCCCTGCCTACAGCTCTTCTCGGCTGTCCAGGTGTTCAGTGTCTCTGCCTGGACAAACAATCCCTTTACGCTCCGCTTCTGCGCACCGCTCCAGCTTCACTTTTCATCACATCCCACCCATCCATACGGAACTACTCTACTAGCAGATTGCTAAATACTTGTAAGCTTCCTCCAGCTGTCTCCACCTCTCTCCCTCCAGCTTACCTCTCTGACTAATTTAGCTTTCAGAGTCAGTGCTATAGTCACCTCCCTGGGGAGCTCACCCTATCTACCCAGTCTAGGATGGGCATCCCTTTGCTGTGAGCCTTCAGAACCACTTATCATACATACTGTGTTGGCTGTTGACCCTCCCAGAGCACTCCTCTGGCTGAGCTCCTTCCGGAGAAGTGTCTTCCTCACTGTTCAGCTACCCTGCCTACCACAGATAAGGCAGTCAATAGGTACTTGTTGAATGAATGAATGAGCAAGCAAATGAATCACATACAATCCTATTCCTGAAGCACAGGGTCCCTAGAGGACCCCTAAAGAGTGCACTTCAGTATCAGAAAGTCCGTAGTCCCAGCCTAACCCTTCCCTTCCAAACCTCCTGTAGTCAGTCTAGTCACCCACGGGCTCACCCCTTCCCCACAATTCTGACTGTATTGGGTTTCTTCAGCCTGACACCTGTGTGGGACCATCTGCTTGGTTTGTAGCTCAGGTTTTGCTATTTTGAAGCTGCTTCTCAGATCATTCTCAGAATCATAGTATATATTTCCCTAGGGTTCCCTAGAAGTCTCCATTTTCCAACCTAGACCAGCAGTTTGGACCCTTGCTTTTCCTGGAAAGAATCAGAACACCTACTACTGAACAACTGCACCTGCTTAAAACGCTTCTCCAGGCCAGGTGGACCCGGCAGTGGAGAGGACCTCCTGAGACTTGGAATTTATAGGTCTGCTGGGCTTGTTACTTTCTGTTTGCTCTCCTGCACTTACTTTCCACTCTTCCTGGTCCTGCTCTGTACAACACACTGCTTCCTTGCACTAAGACTTCTTGCTGGATTTAGCCAGCAAGACATTGCAGATCAGCAGTTGGAGAGACAGAGGAGTCCAGAATGTACTGCACTGCTCCTTTCTGCAGGGTTGCGATTTTGGTAGTACCTGAAGTTTTCTACAACCACAGGTCCTGTGGACTGGCTTCTCTCCCAGATTCTGATTACACCATCCCCTGCCCCTGCCCCTTTTAAGCAGGAGTGGTTGGTGAGTCTGACTGCTGTGAGACTTTGAATGCTTGCTTCTCTCTTTTGTGGTGATGGAGATTGAACCCAGGACCTTCACACTATGCTACATCCCCACCCTTTTTATTCTATTTATTTATTATTTTGAGACAGGTTCTCACTAATTTGCTAACTTGCCCAGGCTAGATTCAAACTTGGCAATCCTCCTGCCTCAGGCTCGGAGAGTGCTGAGATTATAGGACTACATTACAATGCCCGGCATGGTTTGGCTATTAAATATGCCCTCACAATCCACATAGTAAAAGACTTGGTTGTCAGTCTGTGACAGTACTAGAGCTGATGGAAACTTTAAAAGGTAGTGCCTAACTGGAGGAAGTGAAGTCATTGGAAATGTGTCCTGGAAGGGGATAGTGAGACTGTGGCTTCTTTCTGTCTTTCTTTGCTTCCTAGCCACCCTGGGGTGAGCAGTCTCACTCCACCATGTGCTCCCCACTGTGACGTGCTTCATTACCACAGGCTCAAAGGAATGAGGCCAAGAAACCACGGACTGAAACCTCTGAAACTGGGAGCCAAGGTAAACCTTTCTTCCTTATAAATTGGTTTTCTCAGGTATTTTGTCCCAGCAACAAAAACCTGACTAAGACATCACCCGTTTGTAAATAATCCCTGATTAAACTCTTTTTAACACACCCTTTGAGCATATCGTGTGGGTCTTGCTGTGACCCTGGCATGGTACCTTCCTTTCACAACACACAACTTAAGCAAGTAGAACTGAGGTCTTCTAGACAATCCAGAGCTCTTTTCCATTCACTTTAGAGTCTAAATATCAAGCATTTAATAATAATAATAATAGTAATAATAATAATAATGGGCTATCAATGAGAGGTTTCAAGATGTCTAGCATTGTGCCTAGTGTTTTACATACATCATCTCATTTAATCCTTACATCCAGGTGGTAAAGCAATTCTGTGAAGTTTTATTTATTATCCCCATTTTAAAAATAAAAACCTAAGTCTTAGGGAGATTAATCTGTTGGAAGTCATGCAGCAGGTAAATGGCAGAGCAGAGAATTTGGCTCACTTCTTGACTCCAAAGTGAAAAAAATTTTCTTTTCCTTTTGGTCATTCAGAAATGTTTTAAAACATTTTAACTAACACACAATTTATATATTTATGGGAGAACAGGGTGATAATTTGATATATGCATATGATGTGTAATGATCAAGTCTAGGTAATTAGCATTTCCATCTCCTTAAATGTCTTTATCATTTGTGTTGATATCCTTCAAACTCCTCCCTCTTTGCTCTTTATAAAATATATAATAAATTGTCAGAAACCATAGGTACCCTACTGGCTGTAGAATACAAACCTATTCTTTCTACCTATTTTGTGCCCATTATCCAAGCCCTCTCCCCCTTCTCTGCACTCCCACGTACCCTTCCCAGACTCTAGTGAGCACTATTTTACTCTTCCATCAACAAAATCAACTTTTTTTTAGATCTCATAAACGAGAGAAATGATGCAATATTTGGTATTTTGTGCCTGGCTTATTTCACTAAACATCACTTAACATAATGTCCTCCAGGACCATCCATTTTGCAGAGCCAGTACTTTGATAACACCGATGTCGTTTGCTTTGGGATGGCCCCAAAACACTCTGGATTCTTTGAACTCACTGTCAACTTCAACCCCAGCAAGTGATGGATGTGATCCGGCTGTAGCTTGATGGGAAATCAGGATGGAGGGAAACCAGCCCAGAAAATAGTCCGGGGAGTTAGTTTGGGTTGAACAGCAGGGTCTGGTGGAGAGTCAGTGTTTAAAAGGCAGTAATGGCCTCTCAGCAGAAGAAAGGGGAGAAGAGGCTTCAGATAGGAAATGTTGCAGGCAGTTTACACCACACCCCCAAGAGGGCCAGCACTCATTGCCCAAAAGGCTAAGTATTAGGAGCCCCTGAGTTCTCAAAGTGAGTCAGATTTTTGGATTTTAAACATCAGAAGAGCCCCTACTTGGCCACTGCACCTGCTGTGGCTGATACAGGGCTCTTAGGGTGTAGTTAAAATACATATCATCTACTTGCCACTGACTTCTCTGGGTAAAGGAAATGAAAACATGGGTCCTTGAACACAGAAAAATGCAATTTTTCTCTCCTGAAATTTGCTATTCCCAAGTGGCCTTCAAACGATCAAATAGCCTTTTATTTTACCACTTATTTGTTTCCCTATAGGAGCCAGAAACACAAGCTATATATATTTTTTGAGCTTCCTTATATGTGTCTTAAAAATTAAATGCTAGTCTTTCTCTTTATATGTTTTTGTGGAAATTTTAAAGAAAGTATAACAGAAATGAAACACTTTTAATCTCACCAGTCACAGATAGCCATTACTTGCATTTTGATGTGTGACTCAGTTTTCTGATGCTCCAGAAAACTTGGAACATGGAAATGTCACTGGACAGGGTCCAGGGAGTTTCTAAGGCAGAGACAGGAAAGCTTGACTCATCCCACCCACAGGACAGGTTGCACGTTTGCTGACTTCCATCCTTGAGAAACAGAGAGGTTTACTAGGCAGAATTTAAAAGTACACACTCAAAGAAATAAGTGTAGGTCGGCACATTCTAGTTTGGAGATGGAGATATTTCTGCTTTGGGCAGGGGAAATCTGTGGAATTCGTGAATCTGTAGGAAGTTTGGGCTTGTTTTATGGCCTACCTACAGATGGAAAAATAATAGCTCCTTTTACAAGTAAAGTAACGGCCCATTTTACAGAAGAAGAGCAGGGCCCAGTCTATGGTGTGTATGTATGTATGTATGTATGTATTTATTTTTAAGATAGATTATCTAAGATGTTTTGCCTAAAAAGTGTTCTTTGAAACATTTGTGTCACTGGATAAATAATAGGAAACAGAGATAGATCTTTCACAAATGGTAAGGAAAGGAGTAAGGGCATAAAAAAATAAGTATTGGGTACATGTACCAACTCCCCATGATGAATATAATCATTGTGTACTGCAAACGTATACTAATAAAAATAAAAGTTAAAAAAGATACAAAATGAAAATAAAATAAAAGGGTCACAGAAAGCATGTCTTAATAAATCTCTGATAAAACTAGGAAAAAAATTGCTACTCTTCTCTATAAAAAGGTCAAGCAAAAACAGAGTCATAGCAAATGAATAAAATGAAATAAACATTAAGAAAAGAATATCAAAACCAAATAAAGTGGAGGGAGGAAGCTGACATTGGAGAAGCAACCCTGTGTGATATTAATAGAGAACTAATAGAGAATGTACAATTGGGGCTACACGACCACTCCCCTCCACTCAATGGAACTCCCATCTTTGTCCTAAGGCCTAGCTGCCAGAGGTGAAGATAGTATATGTGTGTACCAGATCCTCCTGCATGACCTTTCTTCACTTGGAGCTCCCTGAAGGTTCATGTATATGGACTGCATCTCATACATCCAAGTATAGCAAAGTGAATTATGGGAAAGAAACATGCAAAGTAGATCCAGTAGGCATGACTCAGCAGCCTGTCAATCATATTGTCAATCATGCTTTGGAAGACCCAATGGGAGGTGCCTTAGACACGCACAATATTTCAAATTCTTAAGCCCAATGATCTCAAGCACTTGTGTCATTTCTGCTGGCAGGAGCCCAGTCACCGAGGGTACTGTCTCCTGATTAAAATTATGCTGCCTTTTCCTCACTGTCTCATGCTACATTCAATCCTTGTGCATTGTGCACAATAATCTGGTAATAGTACTACCAGCTGTGCTGGAGGTTGTGGGAGACGCCGTGCGGACAGCTTAAGGGCTGAAATGGAGCTCTTCCCACAGCTGGCCTGTGGGCAAAGCCCTGATGACACACCTTTAAGGTGTGGTCCAGTGGAAGCGGGTGTTTGTCCTCTTTCTTCTTCCAATCACAGCTTAGAGCTGCTGGCTGAAGGAAAGAGGAAAATGCCAGGATTCCAGCCATCCACACTGAACCACCGAGTTGCCATTCATCTTTCTTTCCTGATGCACCAGAGGAAAACTCAGAGAACACAGGCTTCCCCTCCCACCTGCTGCACAGCACTGACTGGAGCGAAGGGGAGTCTGACAGGAATCTGGACTGTAGTTGACCTAGTGGCCTGGCATGATTTCATTTTCTTTCTCATCTTCCATCAGCACTAGCACATGAGTAGGACACCATGAGAGGGCACCGCCCCACCCCACCCAGGCATAACCTCACGTTGAATCTGTTTCTCTTAGTATTAGGTGTCTACCTTTTTTTTTTTTTTTAACCTTTAGACTTCTAATATCCTTAAGGGATTTGGGGTCTGATGGCCCTGGAAGAAAAGAAGCATTAAATAAGCCTAGGGAATGCAAATATGGAAAATTCTGGTTAACTTTGATTGTGTTTTGAAGTCACAATCTTCTTAAAAGTGTACTTTATAAATTATGATTTTCCGTGTCTCTTTCCTTCCTGCTTAATTTCTGCCCTGCCTCAGAAGTGTCTCCTCTATGGCACACAAGATAAAATGTGGACTGTGTCCCAAGTACTTCCTCTTGGATAATGCTAGATCAATTCCCTTCGGTTTCTTCTATTATTTAGGGTTCTACATGAGGTTTTTAGTGGGGCAAACAAAGCTGTTATCTGTGTCTTCATTTTTAATGGTTTTATAGTGTATAGATGAGTGCTAATTTGTTAAAATTCAGGCAAGAGGGTAGGGCATGGTGAAAATTCACTGGGAAAGTGGGTGTGACAAGGTCTCAGAAGAACAGTTCCAAAGCCATGCATGTGGACTTCTCCTGAGAACATGAGCAGGGTTTCACAGGCTGGCCTAGACCTAACCTCAGTCTGAGGAGTGGGTGGTACAACCAGGACAGTCCACACTGAGTTTTCGTCACTGTGTTCTCTTGCATGGTGGCCCGCCCTCACACCGCAGGGTGTACTCTCTTTCCTATATGTACTTGGCCCAAGCTTGCTCTGCAGAGCTTGTTTCTTTTCTTACCTTTAATAAAACTTTGCTCCCATTAGTGCTTGTCTTGACTAACTCTGCTCAGGACAGAAAGAACCTGCAAACTACCTCCAGAAGGAGATTCCAGCACCCCCAAACCCAGCAACAAAATGACATAGTCAGAGACCACTGTAGGGACATAGGCCAAACAAACTTCTGGGCCCTTAGCCTGTTACTTATTAAAAGCATGATATTTGCTTTCCTCTGAAGCAATCATGGATTTAAAACTTGCTTTTACTAATAAAACAGTGACTCTTCACTTGGGCCTATAGAGGCCCATGAGGTAACTAAGAGCAGAACAAAGCTTAATGTTCATGTTGTATCTGTCTCCATTACCTTAAATCCTCTGATCAGATCCTTGCTGGGCTCTGCATTTAAGTATGTTAATCACTTCTGAAGAGTCTATTTAAAAGGTAGTAATACACAATTGGCCCTAAATTTATATAACCTATCTCATTCCATTTAAGTCTGAGGATAGCAATACTAAAGATTTGTAGTGACATTAAATTACCAGTAAGCCCCTACAATCTTCAGTCATTTCCCTAAATATAGAGTTACCTTCGATTCCAGCCATTTTACAA